TGCAATTAACAACCTCTGAAACCTCACTGGAAGGTCAGCTATGGTTCTGATTCAACTGTAAATAATAGCAGTACAAGATGAATGTGACAATTTAACCACGTGGCTTAGTGGCAAGAAGCTGCACTGCAAACCTGAAGGCATGTGGCTTGAATCCACCAGCTGCTTTGAGGGAGAAAGATGGTCAATCACCTCCCATTTGATTACTGCTTCTGAAAACCTGCCGGAGGGTCTGGTATGGGTCAGTTCTGACTTGAAGGTACACAGCAACAACAACAATTGTTTCAGTAAATAGTTTTTCTCTTATCACCCACCCTGAGAAAGATGGGCAGTCTCCTCCCGTGAAATTACGCACTGAAAGATCTCTGCAAACCCACTGGAGGATCAGCTATGGGTTGGTTCTGACTCAGTGGCACACATACCTAATAAGGGAGCTCTTAGTGGCCTCGTGGTAGAAGCTGCACTGCTGTCCCAAAGGCACGTGCTTCAAATCCACCAGCTGTTCTGCAGGAGAAAGATGGGCAGCCTCCTCCCAAGCAATGTACAGCTTCTGAAAACCCACAGGAGGGATGGCTATGGGTCAGTTCTAATTCTCTGTTACACAACAACAACAATAAGAAAATAAACACTAAACTTAAAATAGGTTTATCTGTGACAAATCAACACACTCCTTAGGTCTGCAATTCTGCGTTCATTCACAGCGTGTCTGTCTCCTTATTACTCAAAGCCTCTGGGTTCCTGGAAAAAAAAAATTCTATGTTCCTTCCTTCCCTAAAGTGCTGAACTCAAACCTGATATTGGTGTTCCATAGCAGAATGTGGAAGCTCACAGTTTGAGAATCTGATTTGCAACTTTTGAGACATAGGGTGAGTAGGATTCCAACTATGAAAGATGGAACAATATTACTTGTTCATTGTCCCACACATGTCATTATAAAAAAACAGTACTATGAAGCTAAACAGTTTCTATGGTATTTCCAGACTAAGACAGAATGGGAATGAAGGCCTGACAACCTAAAATTAGTCAAAGGAATCCTTGTGAATGCAATGGTCCACTTTGCATCACATCCTGGAGTTGATGAGATTAGGCAGCATTTTCTTTCATTGTCCATGGAGTCACCATGAGTTGGAAGCCAATTAAAAAAACTAGCAGCTAACAATGACAGACATCATTAACAAAAAACTCGGGTGGTGTGGTCCACAGAGAGTTGCTCTTACTCTTAATGTTGCCCCTCTCTGGTGATTTGAACCCTCCAGTCATTCCATGGAGAAAGATGGGCAGTCTCCTCCCATGAATCTCAAAACCTTGGAAACCCAGTGGAGATTCACCTACAAGTTTGTTTCAGCTCCATAGCAACGAGGTCAGATGGTGAATGGAGAACAGCTCAATATTCCACTTCTAGCTTCTCCATTTATAGCTTGAGTAAGGAACTTCACCTCTTTGGGCCTTTGTGTCCCCATTTTAAAAATGAAATGCTGAATTAATTGCTAATCTCCAGAGTCCATTCCTGTTGTGTGGTTCTGTGATGCTTTTCCATTTCATCAGGGCCAAACTAATTACACTGATTATACTGTTGCCTGGCTGGATAAATACCCGTTTTTCATTTTTTGGACCCTGTTGGACAAGTTCAGCATGTTTTCTAGTTTGACTTAAAAGTTCAATCACCTGAGAGAAAATTACCCTTATCCCAACATTTGAGCTTGATGTCTTACACAGGTATATTACAGAGACTACCTTATTTACTTGCATAACTCCCTCCACATCATTCCCACATCTCCACTGACACTTTCAACTCTAAACATGTGATATGGAAGAGACTTAGCCTTCATTCCCCTCAGAGTTTTCATTCTTTTAAGATGCACACCTGTGATTACTAGATCAGTGTGACTCAGCCCCTTTTCCACAGCAACCACAGCTTAAATTTACTGGATCCAGGATGACTTGACATTTTCCCACTGCCTTCAGCAGCTTGTCATCAGTTTGAATGAGGTTTCTTGAGTGTCTGTGAAAGACAGAGGAATGATTTAAAAAGTGTTTTCATTTTTTCCAGTGAGAGTTTCTTTTTTGTATATGTCCAAGTAGGACAGGTTTTTGGTCCCTGGCATGCAGGGATGATCTTAGATTGAGAGAGATAGATACCTGAAGGAATACGTCCTTCTCAAGTCAACTATAGCTTTCCTTTACTTGCTCCATATCTTCAGAAAGCTACATCACAAACCCAAAGGTGGCACCTGCCTGGGAGTTTGAATCCCCCAGGGTCTTTGCAGGAGAAAGATGGGCAGTCTCCTCCAGTGCGATTAAGAGTCTGAGGAAAATCTACTGGAAGTTCAACCATGAGTCAGTTCCAACTCGATGGCAGTGCATATGAGCATGTTGTTTATGAGCAATAATTTAGAACATTGCTTCTTAAAGAACATGCACTTGTTTTAATCTGCATAACCACCTTTATGGGCTAAGCTGTGATGCAGGTTTGAGGTGGTTAAACTCTTGGCACTTGCCCATACACAAGGTGTCTTCCAGGGAAAGCACTACTAGTAACCTGGCATTCACTCCTTGTGGCTTATGATCCAGTGGGCATACAGGACTGGACCTGCCTTAATCAAGCTCCTAGTGGTTGAAACATAAAAAGCTGGATGCTTGTGGATTAATTTGCAATGAGAAATACAGGTGTTGAGCCAATCAGAAAACTTGCGTCAGCAGATGAGAGCATTCTCTTCCAGTATGCTACTTGTTTCAGCATTTGAATTATAATCAGAAGGCCAATTTAATCACTTTTAGTGGAGGAAAAAAGAAATACAAATCCCAAGCAGACCAGATGTTCCTATTAGCCCAGCCTCTTCTGACAAACTACATTGTTGTTGTTGTTGTTATGTGCCGTCGAGTCGTTTGCGACTCATAGCGACCCTATGTACAATAGCCCTAAACCCTGCTCTGTGCCAATCTCATTGCCTCTGACACACCCATCCCGAGTACCCCAGTCACTGAATCAATCCACCTCATAGAGGGTCTTCCCCTCCTGAGCTGTCCCTCTACTCTACCCAGCATGATGTTCCACTCTAAAGACCTGTCTCTCCTTACAACATGTCCAAAGTATGTCAGACGAAGCCCCAGAATCCTTGCCTCCAAGGAGCAGAGGAACCACAGCAAGGAGTATTTACTAATATTAAAGGATGGCTCTCAGCAAAGGCAGCTGGAGACTCCTTTGCCATCACACAGATCTGCTTACCAAGAAACCTGGAACACTGAAGTCTAGTTAGCCAAGTCTCCCCCTCCCTGCTCGAAACACAGATGGGCACTGCCTGTGCTGGTCTCGGCAGTTTTCTGTGCCAAAAATTCTCCATTTTCTATGCTTCTGCTTCCCGTGGGTCTTGTTCAAACTGGGTTACAATAAAATAATTTCATTTGCACTTTCTGGGATCACTTCCAAATAATCTCAGTTGGAATTTTTACCATTTTAGTCACACATTTATGAACAACATCTGAGTTTTCTAGTTCAGCTGGCTAATCCAATTTACTGAGTATTGGCTTTACTGGTTTAGTTCTTGAAAATCTTTGGGTTTTCTTTCTCCCCCCTCATTTTTTTATTGTTAAAAACATGTGTAGGCTAGTGGCAAGAAGCTGCACTGCTATCTCAGAAGTATGAGGTTCGAATCCACCAGATGCTCTGCTGGAGAAGGAGGGACAATCTCTTCCTATGCCAGTCAAATGTGATTTGATGGTACACACACACCCACGTGCACACACACACATGTAAAAAAATTTTTTAAAAAAACCATGTATAGGGATGCAGTGGGGTGGGGTTTGGGAGCAGAAGAGTGAGGATAGGCAGGGATGAAATCACAGGGCTGCACAATTTGGTGAGTAGGGGGCTGAGGGGGTGCTGGGAAGTAAATGAGAAAGATCCAGTGGGGACCAGAAGAGACAGGGTAATGGTAAGCATAGTCCAATGGCGATCATTTTTTTGTTAACAAATAAATTGTCTTATTCACCTGTGGGTTTCTCATTTGGGAATGTGGCACAGACTCCCTGCCTTCTTCTCGCTGAACAGGGCGTTGATATGAAAGGGGAAGGGGAGCCACTTGAACACCTTCTTGGTGGTCCTGGGTTAAAACTGCATGTTTTAACTTGTTCAATTAGAAGATATTTTCCTGATGTTTACTGCCCTCTGAACTGCCAAGTGTTTTCCCAGGTGGGTCCAGTGGGGATGGATGGCTGAACCCTGAGGCTCCATCCTCCTTCACTTCCTTAGCTGGCAGTTATATTTCCCTTTTGTCTCTGGAACTGGGCTCAGGGTTCAGGTCTGGAGCAAAACTCAGTGTTAAGGTTACTTATAGGAAAGGGAGAAAACCTAGAGAGAACAAACTTGTGAGTTACAAAGAGAAGGGCTTTGGAGGTCTTAATTATAGATGAACTGGAGGAGGAGGTGGAGGAAAGTGGCTTAGATAAAATTCTTTGTATACACTAGGCAGTTTTCTCCAGCAACATAACGGGCTCTTCCCAGAGGTTGGACAGCTCTCCCTGAGGCCCAAGGCAGCAAATTCCAGGGGCTGAACGGCTCAAGCAGCTCTGCACTTTCGTAAAGTAAAAAGCTTGTGTATGTGCATGTTTCACACGTCTGAAAACGGAGATTCAGAGTGGCTAAGCACTTTTCCTGGGGCACACAGCTGGTGATTGGAGAGCTGAAACTCAAATTCAGGCCTTCTGTGTTCAGAACATCACCCTTGTCCCATTGGGTGTGATCATTACATTGGCTATTCTTCATAAGTCTCACAAGAAGGGAAAATCAAGGTGTTTTTAAGAACTGCATTTAAAACCATTGATTGATTTTATTTATTAACGAGGAAGTGCATCCTAAAAGTATGTGGAGGAAGAGAGAAAATAGAAATAAAAGGGTGTCACTCTGATTAGGTGGCTCTCATGCCACAGGGGCCTCAAAGTATAGGCATGGAATATCTGTCCATCCTGCTTAAGAGTAAACAGCAAATGACTGTGTTTTGTTCCAGAATCTGAGTCTATCCGAGGCAAGGGGGGAAATCCTCCACTATCAGGTGACCTGGCAGGAGGTGGCATCAGGAAAGGCCATGCTACAGAACATCACAAGACTCACCTCCTGGACCTGGAACACTTCCAGAACTGGGAGCTGGACTGTAACTGTGGCTGCAGCCAACTCGAAAGGCAGTTCTCTGCCTACTCGAATCAACATAACGGATCTGTGTGCGGCAGGTAAGCACTGACTTCTATTTAATATTGCCTGTGGGAAACTGCGTGTTACTCGTGGCTTATCTCCTGCAGGCCCAGCCCAGGGTCTGACATAGAAGCAGAAGTGTTGAATTTTTAGAATCAACAGCTTTCAGAGGCTGCCTTTTCCACTGTATGAGTGGCTTTGGGCAAGTACTTCTGAGCATCAAATTTCTCCCATTTAAATAGGGATTATATTTTTCAACTTGCAAGTTAGTATTAACTACAAAGACACCAACACCAAAATAACAAAATAAAGCAAAAAAAAAAAACCCCTATTGCTGCCAAGTCAATTTTTATTTATATTGACATTTCAGGAGAAATAAGTGCCCCATACAATTTCTTTCCAAGTCTATACATCTTTACAGAAGCATACTCTCTCATCTTTCTCTTGCAGAACAACTAGCTGGTTTGAATCACTGACCTTTAAGTTAACAGTCTAAAGTTTAAGATATGCTAGTTGAGAAAAAGGTAGTTTGAGCATATTGCAGGGAGAGGCTATTACTTCGAAAGGGACATCATACTTGGAAAGGTGGAGGGATAGCAAAAGAAAGGAAGACCCTCAATGAGATGGATTTATACAGGGACTGCAACAACGAGTTCAAGTATATGAGAAATGATCAAGATGGCACAGGATAGGAGAGAGTTCAGATTTGTTCATTGGGTCACTTTGAGTTGTACTCTACTTGAGTATGGCACCTAGCAACAATATAGTTAAAGAAATATTTTTTGTTGTTGTTGTATACAACATCAAGGAACTGACTCATGACTGACTCCCTAAATGGGTTTTTTTAATTCTAAATTACTAAATTTAAGATGCACCATGATAGCAAAGTTTCAAATAATGCCTATAACTTATTGTACTCATCTATAACTATTTTATTTTTATTATTATTAATTTTAATGAAAATTTACAGAGACTTTGGATTTTCATTCATTCTTTGTTGCACTTTTCTCCCTGCCCACCCCTCCCACCCCCAGTACACTCTTCTCTTTGAAAAGGAGAAGTTCCCCATTGTTTTATAATCCCTCCCCCCAGATCCACTCTACTATGGAGCCTTCATTCAGGACTCCTGTCAGGACAATAATACCTAATCACATATCTCTTTTAAACAGTTTTCTGCTTCATCTGTTTCAATACAGTATACATATTATTTATCCCATCTTTCTCAGTCTTCCCCAAGCCCAATATCAGTCCTGTTTTACAACATTGGAACTATGTAGTATTTGTTCCTTTGTGACTGAGATATTTCATTCGACCTAATATCCTCCAGGGTCACCTATTTTGAATAATATTGCATGAGTTCCTTGTTTTTCAATGCAGTGTAGTATTCCATTGTGTGAATATACCACAGCTTCTCTATCCAATCTTTTGTTGATGGGCACTTAGGTTGTTTCCAACTCCTTGCTATCGTAAACAAAGCCACGATAAACATGGGTGTGCATATATCTGCTTGGGTGTCAGTTATGGTCTCTTTGGGGTATATTCCCAGTAGTGGAATTGCTGGGTCAAATGGTATCTCTGTTTGCAACTTTTTGAGAAAGCGCCACACTGCCTTCCACAGTGGTTGCACCATTTTACACTTCAAGCAACAGTGAATAAGGGTTCCTTTCTTCACAACCTCGCCAGCATTTGTTGCTTGCTGTTTTGTTAAATTTTTCTGTTCTGACTGGGGTGAAATGATATCTCATAGTTGTTTTGATTTGCATCTCTCTTAGAGCTAGGGATTTTGAGCATTTCTTCATGTGTTTGTTTGCCATCTGAATGTCTTCTTTGGTGAAGTGTCTGTTCAAATCCTGTGCCCATTTTTCAATTGGATTGTTTACCTTTATCTTGTTGTGGTGAAAGCATTATTATTTTATGTGAACTCTTAAATATTAGGTATGTGCATTTCCTCTTGTGTATCTGTGAACAAATAATATAATTGAGAATTCAAACTCATTGCATTGAGTTGAAATCAACTCATAACTGACCCTCTCCAGTGTGGGGTTTTGGAGTCTAGAAACAACATGAAAGAAGATTGCCCCTCTTTCTCCCATTGAACTGCTGGTGGGTTTGAACTGCCAGAGAGGTGCATTTGAGTTAGCATCACAACTCTCTATGGACTACAACATAATTCACTAAAATTCCTGACTCACAATTATTGTGCCAGCAACTTTTTTACTCACAGTCCTTAAACTTTTCTTTGCGAATCCAGATTTGCTTAAATTTCAAAGGTATCTAGGTAGAGTTGCATAGACTATTAAAAAACCACCTTAAAACTTAATATCAGTTACCTCAGCAAAAGAGGCAGGGCTGAGTTCAGAGTTATGTCAGACTTAACTTTAGTTGAACTGTTCTCCTCCCCCTCTCCCTTTGATTTATAAACATATTTACAACTAGTCTACATCAAGTAATTTGCTTTATTTTTTGAAATCAGAATGATTTCCCTATATCCCTGTAGAATGTTGTTGCTGTTAGGTGCTATAAAGTCAAGTATGACTCACAGAGACCCTATAAACAGCTGATCTGAATGAACCCTGCCCTATCCTGTGCCATCTTCACACTTCCTGACACACTAGAACCTATTGCAGCAGTCACCAAGTCAGTCCACCTGGTTAAGGGTCTTCCTCTCCTGTGCCAACCCTCCACCCTTCCAAGCATCTTGTCCCTCTCCAAGGAATAGCCCCTCATAGCAACATGCCTGAAGTATTTGAGGTGACGCTTCATCATCCTTACCTCCAAAGAACACTGTTGAATAACGGTTCTGAATGAGCCTTGGGCTTCAATTCCTTTGAGTTTTGACTATTTTTAACACTCAGGAACATGTGAGGGCAGGAGAAAAAGATAATCATTGCTGGTGAGGGTGTAAATTTGGTCAACTTTGTGGAAAGCAATTTAGCAATATGCAACAAAACTTAAATAAATATATAGCTTGGCCAAGAAAATTTATCGCTAGACATGTATGTTCAAGAAATAATGAGATATGTGCTAAAACTATAAGTCTGTAAGATATTTCTTAAAATACTGCTGGAAGCAGTGATACAATGGAAAGAACTTAAGTGAGTAATGAGAGTTTACTACATCGTGATTGTCACCTGCCTTAATCTCACATGACAGTAATATTAGTTATAGCTATATTTTGTTGATTTTTAAATATGCATAGTACCCCTTTTTTTTTAATAAAAGGCTTCCCAGAGTGTACATGGGAAAGGTGCCATTTAAATTATATATAAATTGACCACACATTTTCATATAGTAAAAAATGTCTAATAGACTGTAATTGGGGTTAGAAGTGATTTTCTCCCTTTCTTATATTTCATTTTATCCAGTAAATATATACTATATATCAAATTTTTTAAAAGAAAATTTTGTAGGTAAAATTGAAATTATACCAATGTTAGTATCTTGGTGCTTTAAACATTTAGAGACCATATTACTAGTAAAAACCTCATGGCAGATGAGTCTTAAGGATATAAATTTTGTGTTTTTCATGGATACTTTCCAGGTTCCTTATTTAGATTTAGTAGCAACTTCTCCAAATGCCACATTCATGATTAAAGAGTTTACCTCAACTGTATTCATCATTCAACCCTCATTTATTCAGTATATACTATATAAGGGAATTGAAAAGAAACAATATGTAAAGATATAGTTGAGTTATTTATAGTCAAGTGGAAGAATAGACACAAGAAAGTAAAATGTGGTACAGTATCAGAATCCCAGAACGTTTCCTTTTGCTCACCTGAAATCTAGACGTAGACCAAGAGGCTATTGTGCAAACAGAGCAAGGCAAGATTGCATGGCTTAAAATCAAGAAATGCATGCATCAGGGCAGTATACTTTCTCCATACCTGTTTAATCTGTATGCTGAGCAAATCATTTGAGAAGCTGAAATTTATGAAGAGGAATGTGGCAGCAGGATTAGATGAAGACTCATCAGTAACCTGCATTATTCACATGACACAACCTTGCTTTCAGAAAGTGAAGAGGGCTTGAAACACTTGCAGCCAACAATCAAGGACTGCAGTCTTCAATATGGATTACATCTCAACATGCAGAAAACAAAATTCTTTACCACCGGGACAAGTGACAACATCATGACAGAGGGACCAAAGACTGAAGTTGCCAATGATTTCTTGTTTGGATCCACAATCAACACCTGTGGTAAAAGCAACCAAAAATTCAAAAGACTTATTGCATTGGGAAAGTCTGCTGTCAAGTACTTAGTCCAAAGTACGAAGAAGCAATGATGGAAATTTAAAGACTAAGGTGCACCTGATTCAAGCCATGGAATTTTCAGTTACTTGCTAGATATCTGAAAGTTGGACAATGACTAAGAATAACAGAAGAATCGATACTTCTGAATTGTGGTGTTGGAGAAGAGGACTAAATGTCCCATGGACTGCCAAAAGATCAAATAGACATGTCTTGGAGAAAGTACAACCGAGGTGTTCCCTGGAAGCAAGGATGGTGAAGCTTTCTCTTGCATACTTTGGCCATGTTGTTAGGAGGGGCCAGTCCTTGGAAAAGGACATCATGCTTGCAAAGATGGACAGCCAAAGAAAGAGAGAAAGACCTTCAACACGATGGGCTGTAACAATGGACTCAAGTATACCAGAGACGGTGAGAATAGCAACAGGATGGGGCAAGTTTCACATATGATGTTCATAGGGAGTTCTGGTGGCCCAGTGGTAAGAAGCTGTGCTGTAAACCTGAAGGCACACAGTTCAAATCCACCAGCTCCTCTGTGGGAGAAAGAGAGGAAATGTCCTCTCATGCAATTAACTGCCTCAGAAAACCTGCTGGAGGATCAGCTATCAGTCAGTTCCAACTCAACCGTACACAACACTACCAGCAAGAGGGTCACTGTGAGGCATCGTCACTTCAGTGGTACCTGATACCTTTAACAACACAGTGTTAGGGTCATTTTGTGATCGAGTAGGTGAGGAGTTGCACTGTCAACTCAAAAGTAGTTTGAATCCACCATTTGAATCCACCAGCT